AGATAGTGAAAAAAGCACACGCACCGAAGTATAAGATATACATATCCACAAATAACTACCACATTTCTGTAGCAGTAAACAAATTTCCAAAATCGGTAGCTCTCTAAGTCTTTGATATATGATTCTGGCAGCATACGTTTTACTGGACACGCATACCTGAAGGCGTCCAGTTACTTATCCGCACCAGATCACCAATGGGTACGCCCTGCTTCACATCTCCTACAACCGCTAGCCAGCTCAGATTAAGCACTTCTCAATATATCGATAGCCTAACAAGCACATCTATGAGCCCCTTCGTTTCTGACTTCTGATTTGTCTGGTTTGGCATATTCCGATTATAAAAATTATTACTGGTTAAAGCGCTGTCGAAGTATTTACTGCGAACGAGTAGTTAGAATACAACATATAGAACTTGATCATATACCTGAAGCTGTACCGAACAAAAAAGAAACGTGCGTAAAAAATCAAATGGTTTATAAAAGCTCATGACAAAGGTTTTATACATTGGGTACTGGAAGTCATTAGAATTAGTAACACAAGTGTGGACAAGTTAACCAAAAGGATTGAATCAAGTTTTTTGTCAGTCACATGCCTAGTTAGATATGGTTCTAAAGAATGAATGTGCAACTATGTTTATTCAGCATATATGTACTAAAGATTGCATTGTTTCAACTTATCATATTGATAGTAGTCTTGCTGAGTAACATCATTGTCCTACTGACAGGTCTTCGGAACAAGCTGTCAGTTAACTTGGAATACGATAGTAAAAAAACCGATATACAAACAAGAGCGCGCAACGGACTCAAAAATAGGGATGTCGATAGGTATACCATCGATGGAGCATCCATCAACACTAATGACGACGTGTCGAGGCTCAGTACCATCATTACGTCGACGGTACTAGACTCCCTAGGCAAACTCGGGTCTCCCAGCTCAGGGTCCCTGAACACAACAGTGGTTCCCAAAAACCCTGCAGGTGATTCGACCCGCGTTAAGAGAGCCCAAAAGAACCAGGCATCACCGCCTAAGCCGAGCAACCCAAGTGTTGCTGCACGGAAAATAACTGGTGATTTAGTCGCACAGTCTACCCCCAAGACTGTTCGTCCGGTCAATAAAGAGCCCAAGATTCATAAACGCACACTGACCTCCAAACAACAAGTTATTAAACCTGAACCCATCGTGAAACCTGGTAAATTAACAACAGTTCGTGACGATTCTCTCATTATCATGAACCTCGTTGACAATCCTGACCTTCCTCTCAGTCTGCAGGACAAAAACGACAGGATGCTGTGGGGTGAATTGAACAAGAAGCTCGAACTTCCTAGAATAGAGCCTTTGACGGTCACCCGGCTCACTCGAGGAAAGGATTCTAAGCATCTAAATCACCTGAGGCTTCTCCGAGTAACACTTAAGAATGCTACCGACGTAGAGGACGTCTTGCTAGCAAGTCACTTACTGAAATCAGATGGTAACGTAAGAATATTGCCCGACATACCGTACTCTGAGCGCAATATCATACGAAACGTCCCTAAAGAATCTCGCGAGAAGTTTTTCCGCGGAAGAAACATAATTGTCCAAGGTATACCGGAAAATGCAGACCCTACTCAATCAAATTCTGACATCAGGGAATGGAAATTCATCAAACAGTCCTTGAGGCTCAAACACATACTGACTCAGCATGTGACGAGACTAGCCAAGAAGGACGGTGATATTAGACCCCGTCTAATGAAGATAACCTTCCCATCTTCCCACATGGCGGCTGCAGTTCTGGAAGCATTTCGTGCTAATAGACGTCGATTGCCACCTGGAATCCACATGCACCTGGATAGGCCATACGAAGCTAGGACCAAGAACAAAGGCAAGTTGGAGCTGACCATTCCACTTGTGGACTGTCTAAACGATAAAAAAACGTGTAAAGGACAGGGCCTACCACCTCGGCAAACCTCATATAGGTGGGCTACCTGTCCATTCACATAAGGTTCATACAGAAAAACAGGACGAAGCTCACGCGTTCCAAATTGAATGCATAAACTGCTTATATATGAACGCCGCGAGTCTACCAAACAAACTGGATGAACTACGTGAACTTAGCAAAGCTAATAAGGCCCATCTGATAGGAATATCTGAAACCTGGATATCTTCTCAGTTCTCGGACCAAGAGTTAGCATTACCTGGGATGACTTTGTTCCGCAACGACAGAAAAACAGGAATTGGGGGCGGAGTAGCCATATACATAAGCTCTTGCTTGGAGGTGCACCAGGTTCACAACCTCGAGTTTAACAATCTTGAGGAATCCATATGGTGCTCTGTAAGATTGTCTAGTACTTCCAGGTGTCTAGTCGGAGTCATTTACAGGAAGCCAACTGCCGACACCGAGTACGATAGTCGTATGCTGGAAGGACTATCCCGCTCTATCCGTCTCGGTTTCACACACATCCTGATTCTAGGGGACTTTAATCTCCCTAGAGTCAACTTCGCGGAACACACGTACACTGGAGGCGACAACTCAACTGAAGCTCGGTTCTTCAACCTCATCGATAACTTGGGCTTATATGAAAATGTGAGGTCGGCAACTCGTTGGAGAAACAGTCAGACACCATCGCGCTTAGACTGTGTATTCACTAACGAAGAATTCCTAGTCGACAACCTCTCAATCCTGGCTCCTCTGGGAAAGAGTGACCATGCCGTCATAGCCTTCAGTTTTGTCATCAAAACTAAGCTAAGGTATCCCAACAATACTTTGCGTTGGAATTTTAAACGGCTGAATGTGCCAGCTCTACATGACTATCTACAACAGGTGGTTTGGGATGTTCACCCTCAACTCGATGTGGATGGTCATTGGGACTTCTTACTGCACACGCTCTTATGTGCTACAGACCATTCAGTTCCTCAAACGGTTCGCAAAAGCTGCAAGCCACCTACAGTAATCAAGAACCGTACCCTTCGCCTGCTAAGCCGCAAAAGGCACTGTTGGGCGGAATACAAACGAACTAATAACGATGGAGCGTATAGGCAATATAAACATATCAGGAACATATGCACGAAGGCTATAAGAGAAGACAGGCTTCAGTACCAAACAAAGCTTATGGACAAATTCGCCTCTAACCCTAGAAGCCTATTCCGTTACGCAGCCTCTCTTCGTCAAGCCAAAACAGGAGTTTCTCAACTGCTAGGTCTTAACGGCCCGACCAACAATGATGGCGACGCCGCTAACCTTCTGGCGGCACATTACTCTCAAACATTTCAACCGGCTGACATCAACTTTATTGACGACAGTTTCATCTGCAATTCCACAGGACTTTCTGAAGTGGACCTAAGCGCTGACTTGGTGTTCCGGAAACTGCAGCACTTAAGACTTGACACTTCTCCTGGCCCGGATATGGTTCATCCTGCCATACTGAGGGAGGCAGCCTCAATCCTGGCAACGCCGCTTAGCGTGATGTTTTCACACTCGCTTAGCCGAGGCAAATTACCGGAAAATTGGAAGTTGGCTCACATCACACCAATTTTCAAAGGTGGTCGACGCAATGAACCTTCAAGTTATCGGCCGGTGGCTCTTCTGTCATTACCTTCAAAACTCATGGAGTCCCTGATATGCGACGGTTTAAACGACTATCTACTGTCCTTAAATTTCTTCTCACCCCAACAGCATGGTTTCAGGAAGGGTTACTCTTGTATAACCAACCTGCTGACTGCGGTGGACAGATGGACAAGCATCCTCGATTGCAAGGGAAAGGTTGATGTCATTTACCTTGATTTCTCAAAAGCTTTTGATAAGGTTAACCACTTGTGTCTTATCAACAAGCTCAAACGACTAGGTATCAAACCACCTCTAATCGACTGGCTTACTTCATACCTAAAAAATCGACACTTTAAGGTTAGGGTTAATTTCACTTTATCTCAAGCTATGGAATGTCCTAGTGGGGTCCCCCAGGGCTCAGTACTAGGGCCTCTTCTCTTCTTGATCTACATAAATGATCTTCCTCAACAGGTAACGTCAGACTTATTACTTTTTGCCGACGACGTGAAACTTTGGAGAGAGATACGCAACCAAGACGATACACAGGCACTTCAGGAGGATCTGACGCGACTTCAAAGTTGGGCAGACGATAACGGACTTACCTTTAACACTTCAAAGTGTAAAGTAGTCCATCTGCGACATGTCGCAAACTACAGTTACAACTTAGGAAACTCCTCTCTAGTAGTATCCCAAGTCGAAAAAGATTTAGGAGTCCTGGTGCCCCATGACTTAAAGTCTTACGCTAACTGTGACAAAAATGCCTTCCGAGCAAACCTTGCACTGGTAACGTTGAGGCGCATTTTTGGCCAGTTTGACGGAAGAACTTTCCACACAATCTTCAATAGTTTCATCCGTCCCCATTTAGAGTACGGAAACATAGTACTCCCCCCTCACTCCAAAAGGACAAGGTCACTTTGGAGCGTATCCAACGGCGAGCCACGAAATCAGTTCGAGGACTCAAATCTAAGCCTTACGAAGAACGCCTCCGTTCACTAGACCTTTACCCACTAGAATATAGGCGTCTTAGAGGTGATTTATTAATGGCTTATAGTATTCTTAACACTTCTGGACATCCTCTTAAACACCTACTTAAGCTTAGTTCGAATAATAACCTAAGGGGTAACACCCAGAAACTGGAAACACAACATAGCAAGACGGAATGTAGACACAACTTCTACTCCTTAAGAGTTGTCAAAAGCTGGAATTCGCTGCCGGCCGAGCTAGTCCAAGCGACTTCTCAGGAGTCCTTCAAGAGGCAACTTGACCTATTCTTAAGGACCAAGGACAGCATCACACTATGATTTACCAATTTCTTTTCCTCTTTTATTGTTAACATACCTAGGTTCCTGCCTGGAGGATTTGGTGATCCCCTGCTACTAGACACGGAAGCCTGTTAAGCGAAAGCTTCTTCTATTCCGTCCACAACCATTTGAACCATTTGAACCATTTGAACTGGCAAGGTTGGACTGATACCTGATCAATTTAACGTGGTGCGCTACTGGACTTTAACGGGGTTTGGTTGGCTTTTCGTCCGATGCTCTGGGTTTGTGCGCTGATACTGGCGACAGTGTTGGTAGAGAGTATCTTAAATGACTCTTCATGATACTAAAAACTAATTGGGCATGTGTAGACCACTTTCATTGAATACGTCTACTTCCGTATAAGTACCACAAACAAATATCTACATTTTTGCGCCTGATATTACACCTGGTTACACTTGTCCCTTCAATAAAAGCTTATATTTTGGGTACTTTGTGGTGACGAACAACGCAGGGTTCAGATCCAATATCACTTATCGCGTAACCTGTTTACATATTTGGATTCTCTGACGAATTGTGTTGCGATTTAACCAGTTGTTAATTTCTCTGTCAACTATCACTCTTCTTTCTGCTGTAAAGTCAAGTGCGAATAACTCACTTTGATTAGATCCACTAGACCAAATAAGTGACTTGATATTAAAGACAAACCTATTGAAAATCTTAAACAGCTGAGTATACATGATGAGACTTCAGTCACACTGTTTTAAGATATACTGAAAGTGGTCCCTTAGTCATTCTACCATTACGACTGTTCGTGTCAATTAAATCAATTTGTTAAATGATGCTAAATAGAGGGATCAGTGACCCATTGTCACTGGATACGAAAGCTTCTGTTCCGCTCACAACCGTCCAAGCCCTCTAAAGATTGTTTAATTGTTTCAGAGGAACGTATCTTTTGGATTGTCTTGCATTTTAGATGTTTTCTTTCCATTCTAAACTTACCTGATAAAAAGGCATTCTGTCAGTAATTCCAACAACAAAATCCTGTTAATAATTAACCTATGATTTTATTGGTTTTTTTAGTTTTAACTAACTACTATTTTAGCCTTTAAAATATGTAGTGGAGGGATTAGATTATGATCGGCAATTTGTTTACGTGATCAATAGATTGGATAAATTTTTAGGAAATTTTATTTTATGCTTTTTAAAAATCCCTCAGTACCACATAGTACTAGTAAATGCAAATCATGCGGCGAAAAGATTACCTTAAGGAAGTACCTGGCGGATAGGTAAATAAATAATAAATAGAGTTAGGGGCAATATTTTCAGAACAACATAGTTTGCGTTGTAACATTATCGTGATTTCCATTTAGTAACATGCGTTTATACTGTTTACAATGAAACTAATATTAAAATGAACCAAATCTGCCACCGACTTTTGTTGTAAACTGTCTCTGCAATAGTCGTAAACAGTTAAGTTGCGTGGTCACTAAAATTTCATCCATGGAGTCATAAAGACCCAACAGATTGTATCATCCTTAATTCAGTTGCAATCAGTCATAAAGTGATCGCATCTCCTCATATGCTAATTAGTCTTATCATCGGAAAATGGTTCGCGGTATAGAAGCCACTAAAATCACATTTGTAAAGGTAAAAAAATAATCAAGGCAGGAGTTTAAACATTTTAGAACTTTACAAAAGTTAGCGCCATATAACTCAGTATTCCTTTTAGAAACGGAAGAAGCTAGAACTGTAGTTGATACGTTTCATTTATTTATTTGAACACATAAATATTGGTACCAAGTGGCACCAACGACATATGCGCCACACAAGTCACTTGATTTGTGTATGGGCTGTGATACTGCCCAGAGCGAGGCAGAAGGTTTTCTTAAGGGGCCACTCTCCAAGCCTTCGACCTCAAAGTCTAATCCACAAGGCAGTGGAGCAACGTTAGAATATGCAGTCTAATGGGGGCCATTTGTTCTCTCAGAATCCTGGATCGCATGTGCACTAATGGTTTGGAATCATGGTTTCCCAACTCCTCTAGGTAAACCCTTCGTATTCAACAAACGGTCGAAGCACCGGACACTCGCTTTTCGTCCTCTCAATTTCGTAAACAACACCTTTGGTGCAAGTAAGCAGTGAGTAGGACTTCCCTGTCAGTGGCTGTATACGCGTGGCCATGTGAGAGCGTTTGGAGAGGGAAAGCTAATTCTCCTACCCTTGACCATACCAGGGTATTTGGGGATATTTGGTAGTCGATACAATCAGCTATCAAATACATTTTTATTAGCATCGATATATTTTTATACACGTAGTTTCTAAATGTGACCTTGCTTTGCTGCTTTCTAATGTTTCAGACTAATTCAGCGTACAAAATCCATTATAACCCTCAACTATCCTACAAGAATTAATAAATTGGTATCAGTGAACACCAGTTATCATTTGATTCAGTTGAATGTTTAGCAAAAAATTCATTTCATCTACGTCTTTACATTGTTTCCGTAGTCCTCGTAGAAGTCTGTTTTCCGGTACATTAAAATGTGCATAATATTTTTATATAGCTCAAACTAAGAAGTTTTACAAGAATGTGACTGTATTTCAGTCAACTCATGAAAGTAAGTTCAAAAATCTATTCATTTTACTAACTCGTCCTACGTGTTGTTGAGTTTCATCGGTGTTTTTGCATTAATTTTCCCGACTAGTTAGTCATTTGCAGTCAACGCAGAACTAATCATAAATATTCGTTGGCTCAAGTTGCCAAAAAAGATCAGGATAACATTGTGATATTAACAAAATCAATAGTAAAGTGGATGAATGGCAGTAGCATCAGTAATAAAATACTGAACATAGATAGTACATTTTGAAAAGCAATGAATTTATGGGTAAAAGTATAATATGATGATAAAATATAGAGTGAATTATTCGCGGTACTTTCTCAGATTATGAGAAATTTTACCTCAGATCTTCAATCGATAATCATGAGCGTTTCATATACCCGGACCAAGTAGCTTTCATCTATTAACAGGACTCAAATCAAAAGTCATTAATCGAATAGGCTAGTACCATATTTGAGTTTGGCCTCCTGTAACTTTTAGCATATCTTTACTGCCTTACCATCGTCGTCAGATTAAGCAATGGCTAGCCATGCATAAAGCGGGTACTAGCTAACTCAGTTGATCAATATTTCGAATCCCGTCAACTGATTTACCAGCTTCGAGTACTGTTCAACCTGTAACCTCAACAGTGCTCATTTTGGGGGCGAATTTTCCTCTAAGTACAATATAGTTATCATACTCTAGTTTCTAGTCAGTACGCAATCTGTCAATAAAAAATGAATTAGTCCATCATATCACATCGTCACAGTTTTAATAAACTCAAAATACCTACCTAACTTAAATCTTGAGTTTTTACTTTTATTTTGCACTTCCACATTTAATATGAATGTTCTAGTTTATAGTATTTTCTATGCATTGAATGCACTATGAGTTTATTGATTTTCGCTTGTCTAACTTATCGTTATTCTCTACTATTCAGATTATAAACATCCAGTTTTTCAAATTCTTCTCGATCAACGTAAACTTCGGACTCCAACTGGAATTCATTTTCACGTACCGAATCAAGCATTAGCTGTCGCTGTTGCACATGAATGGGATAGTCAGGTTGACACTATAAAACGATATGCTATGCCTTTGGTAAGACTTTTTAATACAGTGTTAACGGTCTTATTATGCCTAATACTAATGGTTATTATTATTATTATTGTTATTATTATTGGTTTTAACGCTTGTCAAGAAAAATCCATGAAGTCACTGAAAACTGGACTGTGCCCTGTTGGTAGGTGTAGACTACCCGGTTGGGATCCGCGAAATGATGGCAACCGATGGTTAGAGCCCTTGAATGACATGGTTCAAAATCGTTTGCAGTGGTGCAGGTGCATCCGCTCTTTGAATTCTCCCAAATTCTAATCTTCTGAATTCTTCATGTCCCTTTTTTCTCTTTCCAAATTTATTTTACTGGATTAAACTCCTTGAATAATATCTTCAAACCCTAATCTTTCCGATTACTGCCTATGCTTTTACTACCTCTACCACTATGGGATTTGAATCAATAATCGTATCTCTGTGCTAGTGTGATATGGCAACTTGAACTGATGTACGTACGTACGAAGTTCTACGTTGATGACTCGGACTGACTGCTTGTCAAGAAAAGCGTCACACAAAGTGAAATTATAATATCGTAAAGCAATAAAAGACAGGAATTTATCTCTACGATACAGTTTCAGTAGGAATATAAATAATATGGTTTTTATTTGTTTAGATTTATGTGAGGAACGCAAAAAAATCCATTAAAGAATCGTCAACGTGTACTAATCTCTGTCATGTCTAACAAAATCTCAAACTACTCAGTTGGATGATAACTAGTATTTCATCCAGGGATTTATGGCTGACTAACTAGTCTAATCCAACGTATTTATCCCCTATTTTGGGAGCTTATTAAAATATACGTGTAAACCAAATTCATCCCATCTTGGCTGGTATTCCAACGTACTTTTTAAGACCACACTTTTTTAAATAGCTTGTACAAGAAATTTTTTCGGAGACATTGATGATCGAACACCTAGAATCGCTGAATATTCTCAGCTCATAGGTTTCAGGTTTCATAAAAATGCAACAAATTTAATCATTTCAATGAGTTGGATACCAATATTTAACAACTCGATTATTGTCTTGATAGTAAAAGTTGTTTATCTTAAGTTAGAGAATTTACTCTATTACTTATGAAGTATGTTACGTTATTGTTCATTAAATGCTCTGTTGATGCAGCTTTGAAACATTTTTATCACTGATTAAATCATAACGAAAATTAATAGATTTTTTTCTGTGAAAAAATATCTGTTCTCTATTTAACATGAATATATATAGACAACATTGTGCAATCGAGCTTTGGATACTCCAGCTGATCAACATGATATCCTAGTCAGCACTATCATGCAGTATGCTGATACTGATACAATCTGGTAAATATGTAGTTTCTTTAATTATATATGATGTCTGTGCGCTGATGGAATAAATATACTTATTGTTTTTTGAAAAAAAAATTAAGTCCACCAATGTTCCTGGTACCTGTATGGTTTGCTAACAAGATTGGGCTGTTCTGTTTAGTTTAAAAACAACCTGAATTATGTTCAATTCTTATGGAAATCAGTATGAATATACCCTCTCACAAGATGTAATTATGAAGTTGTCCCTAAATGCCATGGTATGAGAAACGGTAAGGAAAGTACTTCCTTCCTCAAAATGCTTTTGTACACCCATTCATTTATTGCCTGTCTAATAATTTCCACATACTGCCTTTACGTGACAAATTTTCTATACAAAAGTAAGGACAAAAAGCAGAAGTCTGGCACTTAAATCAGATTGGTAAATACGTATGGTTCATCTAACAAGGTTGTAAAACACAGAACACTTAGGGTTCAGGATCCTGAGGGAACGAACAGCATAGTCACCGATTCTAGACACCAGCTACCATGGGTTTGCATCTCTTTACAGTATTCAACGCCTAATGAATTAGTCAAAGATGCGTGGTGTCGTCTCCTAAGCTCGAGCATAAAAAATATTGAATACGTTTTCCTGAATTCATTCAAGTGCCATCTGTTTTGAACCTATCCTTAAATCAGTATGCACTCTTTTTTACTGGGAAGTTGTTGTTTCGTCCATCTTAATTCAAACAGTTGCTCCTCATCTATTCAATCACTATCATAAGGCAGTCGAACTGTCTTTTTTATCTCCCCAAAATCTCTAATCATCTCTTCGAGCCTCAATTATCGTTGGATAATAACGACAAATATCACCAATGAGAATAAATAATGGTCTTCTGATATCTCGAATCACATGGAGATGAAAATGCAAGCCAACTAATTCGATGTTAACTCAGTGTTTTGAAGGTTTAGTACTCACTGCGAGATCTGAAGATCCTGATTCTGATTTGTAGTGGGGTCTTGGGTACTCATTATTAAACTCTTGTACTATGATGAAAAATCTGTCCAGTCCTCCCTTTCTCTTAATGGTTGATAGTTCTTAATGTAAAACCTCAAAATTCAACAATCTACACAACCCTATACCTAACTTTATTTGACTGGACATTTTATTGAGGTTAGTTCCATGTATAGATGATTTTTTCATCACAAACTAATATTAGCTTAATGAACTGTTAAAAACCGGAAGCAACTGGGCAATATTCTTAATGTCTTAACTGCACAACCTTTGATGAGAGTGGGCTAGGGGTTGTGAGTGCATATCACATATCGAAAGGTCTAAGGTGAAATAGTTGATACATATTATGTAATAACAAGTATCTTCAGTTCTATTCTCCATACCTAAGAAAAAGTTTTGATTATTTCGTACACATACTATAGTTCTGGAATTCCTATTCACATTTCACTGTTGCACCGGTGTATTCATCACTTATTAAAGTGGTCATATTTAATTGCTTTGTTTTGTTCATCAAATAAACATCGTCAGTTTCAGATGTCAAGAACCAGATGATTTGGTTAAAGTGCAATCTCTTTCATGGGATCCTATCATTAATTGGGTTAACAAACATTATCAGATTAAACCAGTCATAACTGATAGTATGACTTCATTGGCTAAACTATCTCCTTTGGATAAAGAGAAATTAACACGTTATTTTAACAGTTATAATATATGGGGTCTTACTGGTAAGTTATCAATGATGTCAATAATCTCATGAATTTCTTTCTAATATATTGTGGCTTATGGTTGTAACTGTTACCTCGACATTGGCCGAGCTTGAACAACATCTCGGGAACACTTTCCAGCAACCACTTGAGGCTGTTCTGGGGTGTGATAACAATAAAATATTTCCTTTAAGCAACAAGCATCTACAATAATAATTCTTTTTCACGACGAAGGGGAAGATTAGAAATGAAAATAATATACCCCAACTTCTCGAGTTTCGATTGCCAGATGCAAGTTCTTCAAAGTACAATGTTAACACTAAAAACTTCACAAAACGTTACCTGTAGACGACCTGAAACGGTTATCTCTTAGGCCTTTGAATAAGGATCCCAGATCATCAGTGTCACTCGTAGCCCAGTTCCCTTAAGAAGAAGGATACTTCCTTCGGAATGATCTAACAGCCTTTGAGATCACTACGTTCTAACTCAAATCCCTTCACTTTACATTTTTTTCTGTTTTCACTACCGACCTCCATCTTTTGCCTCTGACTTTTTTCATGAGTAATACTAGTGCTGACAATCATCGTGAATACAGGTGTGCAGAGAATTAGTTCTTTGATAATGATAGGTGTTGACAAAATCTCGGTGTTAATAGAAAGAACAATTTTCTGTTTTGTCCTGATGGCCTGTTAATTATCACATGACTAAATCACCAATTAGAAAACCGACATATTGACCAGACCAATGACGCATAGACCAGTACGAGCAGCCTAGAATCAACTCTGAGTTTTATTGGTCCTCCAAGATAGTAGCTTCTCGCTTAACCCATTCGGTTCAGTTCAGAACACCAATATCAGACTACGCTATATCAATCATGTATTTCAGAAGTACGAAGACATTATCATGCCATAAAATAGGAAATAACAATTATACAAGATTCAGCCGCAAGTAGCTGTGTGATAGACTGTAATTAATAAATTAGGAGTAATTTAAAAACAGTAAATCGTATAGTAGTAGTTCATAGGTCAAATGGAAGGTTATAATAAGAACGATATGAATGTACACATAACACAGTTATTTAATGGTTATACAATGAGAATATATATAATAGTAGTCCATAAGTAGATCATAATGGTGGCTATTCATTTATTCTTCGTCCGGATATAACATTGTAGTGTTTTTCCTTAACCTGTGTCATTTTTTATGTCGGTAATGGTTTAGCTATTGAAACACTAGGCTTGCAATTACTATGATACACAGTTGAACCCTTTTTATTTACAGTAGACGGTTAATATTATCATCAGTTGGTATGCACAAAATTTATCGTTCAAAGGTGACTATGTAAAATTGTAAACTTAGCTACTGAAGTTCATTTCCAAAAAATTGATCGAATCATGTGTGTGTATGTGTTAGTAATGTAGATTTTAATTTTAATATAGGATACTTCACCAGTCCTAATGGGTTGGTACTTGACGAAATCTCAACATTAATCCAGAAAACTCAGTTGACTTTTCTAACTAAAGGACGAGTTTTTCTGCCTACTAGTTCGCTCTCCTCTACTTTATAATTGTGAAACATGGTCTTTAAAAGTAAAAAAAATATTTTTAGGTTACTGGTATTCGATTATAGGTATTTTGGAACAATTGCCTGTATATTTTAGGACCACTGATTTAACAACTTGAAGGTTAGACGCAGAGTACAAGGTAAGTTATGGCAAATCAATCGACAAGGTAGTTAATCTTTATCGATTTAGTGTATTATGTATGCCCATCCACCGACTACCTCGACAAGCGATAATGGATTGTGTAGAAGTAGGTTGGGAGGAAGCTTAGGGAAACCAAACCAACCGTGAATTTGTTGACAAAATTGTTTCTATTCTGTGATTATTAAACAAATACTATAGAAATAATGTAAAAATCTAACTTGTACGTTAAATTCTTGTTTGTGTGCATTTCATGAACTAGTTGACATCGATTACGGTGATCTTGTGTGTGTTTCCGTGACATATAGCAATCAATCATCGTGTCTAAAAACGCTTTTTCACTTTTTTCTTTAAAATAAAATTTAAGGAGTTTTCACACTGTTTAATTTCTCTTAATTGTAGTTGGCAGAAAATCATGGATCTAAGTTCCGAACTAGTTTTCACTCGGTGGCAAGGTTTACTTAAACTTTTAAAGAAACAGATATTGCTTAGTGGATTCGAAACTAAGTTATCATTTATTTTAGCAAGAATATTTATTTATATACTTCAGCACATAGATATTGGTACAAAGAGGCACCAAATACATATACACCACACAAATCTCATACATGTGTGAGGGCTGTGATAGTGCCCGGGTGCCCAAACCGAAGCAAGTGGTTTTCTTAGGGGGCCACTCCCCGAGCCTTCGACCTGAAGGTCTGATCCACAAGGCAGTAAAGCATCGTAAGGAGATCCAGTCACATGGAAGCCGGTGACCAACAATTGGTTCATTCGCCATTTGTTCCCGCAGGATACTGGAGCCCATGTGTACCATTGGTTTGGAATCTGGTTAAAGCGCCGGACATTCGCTTTTCATCCTCTCGATTTCGTAAACAACACCCGTGGTACGAGAAGGCAGTGAGTAGGACTTCCCTGGCAGAGGCTATATACGCGTGACTATGTGAGAGCATTTCGAAAGGGAGAGCAGACTCTCACCACTCTCAGCTGTACCAGGGCATTTGGGGACAAGGATAAACCCACATTTGCGTTTGATAAAACGTTTAGAATCGATGTTATCTGTTTTCTTACTATTCTACATCAGCGTGCCTCAATAGATATGCTTGTTATGAACATGTCACGCTTATTCTCCAATTAAATTTCGGGTCACAATGTATTACCGGTCAATCATAATCAACACAGAGCCTGGCGTATGTGTGTTTTAGTGAATGTTCCCGTATCACATCAGGTCGAAGAGGTGAGATAAGCAAACCAGTCAAAATAATATAATAGCAATTGTAGTAGAAAAAATTGTATTTTGACAGTATGTTTCGAAGTGACAGGATTAAAAAGTGTGTGAAAGAATTCTGGACCTCAAGATATAGGGCAAGATAAAGAGTGAAGTTATCATGGCACTATAATCTATCCTAAGCTACATTACTCAGTGTATAAAGACACTGACCACAACCCGGTAGTCTTCACCTATGTACATGGCTCAAACAAATGAATTCATCGACTGACACTAAGTCTTATTTTAACACCCCCCCGTCTAGTTTTCTTTGAGCCTGCACATATATTGGCCAGTATTGCATCTTGAGGCAGGCAGCGGTTGTACATACATAACACATGTCTTAGTCACCCCAGTCAATGAAGATTCACAGTCTCCATCTTTGTTAGAACCTCAAGATTGCTCACTCAGTCATTCTGCAATTGGTGAGCAATCATTGGAAAACACTCATGATCAAGTACCCACAGCTTAACTGTTTCCTACTTCCATAGACCATGTTTTGAACGATAAAGTATAACAGAGCAAATCGCTGTGCCGATTGCTCCCCTTCTGGTTGGGAAACAAACATCTCACCTATGCTACAAGTAGTGTTATTTGACATAGCCAACCAAACTTTCTGAACTCATATAACATTTATAATAAAGCGTGTTATTAGATAACTAATTTACCGATAAAATAGAGATCTCTGTTAATTTCAAACACACCCAGACTTTTAACATTATATGAGTACAGTGATGCCCAGATTAACTTTAGATAAACTACAATAAGCGTGTGTTTTCAAAGATTATTTTTCATATGTTACATAATCACATTTCTTTCTTTGTATACGTTTGTATTGTCTTAAAAAATAATAGGCATAAAATCATGTGTTGAAAACTTGAAATCAGTTTATCTTACATTAGCTATGCTGGATGGATTTTGTTCAGTTGCAAAAGCTGTTGAATTAAGTCAAATAGAAATGTTATTTCAGGTTAGTTTTAATTATATTACATCACTATGAAGTTTCAGTATTCAAATATCTAACTATATATATATATATGGGTTAACTCCACCTTTTCGTACCACATTAGGATGACGAGATGAAACTAACAAAACATGTAACAAAAGAGATTCGAATGTTGAAAGAGATTCAGCATTGAGAACATGGTATGAAAAGACAGTGGAAATGAAGAAATTTATGATTGAGAAGTTAAAGCATCCGCACTATTGTGGACAATTCTAAGTCATGTCAACCTAGGTTTTCAACCCTCTAATGGTGGTTATTACGCTAATTCCATCCAGATAGTCTGCATCTACTTATATGGCTCTGAAATATAGTCAATGACTTCATGGAATGATGCCAAGTCTTGGTTTGGGTGTCATTTGCTTTCTTAAAATCTGCTCCTACATGAGACGTCATTGCACGCCGAGATAGGCAATGTTTCGTCATATGTAACACATATCTCAACTATCTCGGTTAATGAATATTCACAATTTTATCGGCAAGTTTGCTCCCTATGCCTAGCATCAATATTCCTTACTAGGTGGTTCCACGAAGTGCGGACAACCCTTTGAGAACATCTATGATTAAAAACCGGATATTCCATATATATTTTCTTCACAGCTATAAAGTACAACAGGTCAAAGTGCTGCGCAGTACATATGCGATTTGTTTGTTAGACAAACATTTCATTTACGCTACAAGTTTGTAGGGTTAACTGCGCATTCTAAATCCGTGTCAGTATTTCGTCAGATATCAACCCACTAGGGCTGATGAGATTTCCAAGCAAAGTGAAACATTCAACAACTTCATTTCATATTATTAGTTCAGGAGATGACCCATACCAGTTCTTAAGTAACATTTTGCATTTCCACATAATAATCTGGCTAGCAACGCCTAGCATCCACACTCTACGCTAAATCCAATTATTCATCACTACCAGCTAATTTATTGTATTGTAAATGCAGGATGCTAAATCTATTTATGAGATTTCAGGATATTTATTCACTTAGATTGTTAGGACATGTATACTACTACTATGCTGAACCACCGCCTACCTCAACGTGATGGTTTGCTGGTATAAGAATTGGTTGAAAGAAAGTTAAAGTCATCCAAACCAATAATTGGCATCAGTCTATCAAGTCATTGACAGTTGGCTCGAGTCATATTGATACGTACAGATTACCTGATCAGAATTCGCTAAATTATCTTAACAATAGGTTGAGAATGTGTGATATGGCTGAAAATTTATTACATGGCACAGATAAATTCACTCTTCATACTTTCTTAGATCTTTAGTCCAAGCATTCCCTCATACGTACTTTCTCACTTCACATTCTCAGCTTATAATCCTCCTCACTGTCATTAGCACTGCAATTATTTCGGCTGCTTTGTTATCTTTATATTGTAAATTGAATCTTATCGTCCTGATGTGATATGAGACTCTGTGCTAACTGTGGATTACTCCATTGATATGTCGTGTGCTAAGCTACTATTCCGACAATGCGACTTCATTGTAGTGAACGAGATAACTATCATCTTCCCCTCTGCTCTAATTAGAGTGAAAAGTCCCGTCTCATAATCCAAGCTTTATTGGTCCAGAACCCAAAGGGAATAAAAAATACATTTAAGTTTATCAGTTATATATTGAATACGGTTATTAAACTGTATAGACTGAGTAATTATCATAGAACATAAATCACAATAAAAATGGTTTGAAGATCCACAGAGAATGTATCGTCAGCTAACCTTACATTCATCTCAAAACGATATTGATTTTTTTTCCCAAGTTGTACATGGAGATTCCATATTCTTAACACTACTTAGTTCAATCTGAGCAACAATCCCTTGGATTCAAATTATAGATAAGATTTGACTATTCATAATATGTAAGAAAAATTGTATACTGAAGTTTAAATGTTGTAAAGAGGAACTCCTATACTATGATCCACGTTTTAATCTGGCGCTTATCTTTAAACTAAGACTAATCAATGCACACTGCAATACTCAATCTTTCAACCTATCAAGTTTTAGTCAACTAGTTTTTATTTCATTAAGAAGACTTTGGCTAATCTTATATATCACAATTGATTGATCACTGGGTTGCGATCAATATCATGTGTGTCTAGTCCTTATTGGTGCAGATCGAATGCTATCGATCATGTTGCAATGTGGCCACCGGTCTAGGTGACTCGACACTGCGGGCATTATATATTGAGATCACATGACATTGATCGCCACCCAGTGATCAATCAATTGTGATTACATCTCAGTCCTACAGGAGGTCGGTCGCGGCTCGGATAGCCTAGTGGTAACATCTCTGACTGTGAAGCTGGGTGACACGAGATCGAATCCGCCAGAGAACACCAGTTCCCTCAAGATTACAGGTGCATATTGCTGACGAGTGCCAAGTAGCACGAAACTCGGGTTCAGGGTTTCCTGTCGACTACCTCCAATCACCATCTAATCTCAATCTTATATATCTACAGCTTGTACATATATACCAAGTTATTTTCATTCATCTTCAAGTGAATATTATTGATTTGTACTTTTTTCTTGTTTTATCTTAGGTTAATCGTTGGGGAGATGTTCCTTCTTATCATGATGTTGAAAATGCTGATCTTAATGCACGTGTATCTGCTGCTCTATTTTTAGCTTTACTCAGTCATTATCGACATGATATAAAAATAAAAACAAGTATAAAATAAATCTGATATAAATATTCATTGAGTTTTGTTTTGTTTTTGTTGCTGAGAAGAATAAAGAAAATTAAACATAATTACAATTATCATTAACATTTCCTTTTATACACACACACACACAATCAATGGTGGATAAATACTTGGAAACGATTTTGTTAGTAGTGGTGGTGATTTTTTGCTTGATATATTGTAGTTTTGATTGTTTAAGTAATATGATACCTAACGTTCATTCTCTCCTGAAACGGCTTCATTCAATGCTTCTGTTTGTTTATTAAGTAATGCTCTACGATCAACAAAACCAAATCTTCCTTTTCCAAAAGAATTTGGACCGCAAGATGTGGGAGTGTACCTAAAAAAATAAATAAATAAAGATCAGTTTATTATAGCATTTAAAATCTAATTAAGTTTGTATTATCAAGAGTTTTATAAGTTATTTTCATTAAAAAAGTAATCCTATATGTTGATTCCCATCAGTCAGTAGTATCATCAATACAATCATAGGTATTTTATATAGCTACAATTTATATATTGTAAAGTTCCAACAGTTGAGATCATGAGTCAATTGAAGCTAGACCACCATGGAAGCACTGGACGACCGTTTCGTCCTATTGTTGGACTCCTCAGCAGCGCGAATTCACAACCCCGCCTCGCGGGAATCGAACCCAGGACCTATCGGTCCCGCGCAATGACCAGTGGGGTTCAACCGGGTCAGTTGTGAGGTAGTAACTCACTGATGACAATAGTGGGTGTGTCGCTCAATCTCGTGGATTAGTTGAAGTTAGACATTAACACCGCTGGATGCCGGCTCAGTGGTCGAGTTGGTTAAGCACCTGGCGCGAGACCGATAGGTCCTGGGTTTGAGTTCCTCGAGGCGAGGTCATGGATGCGCGCTGCTGAGGAGTCCCACAATAGGACGAAGTGGCCGTCCAGTGCTTCCAGGTTTTCCATGGTGGTCCAGCTTCAATTGACTCATGATCTCAAGTGTTGAAATTACTACAATCTCCACAACACCCCTTCTGATATTTTAAAGTTGTTTTACTTCGGTTAGATTAAGTGAGATTGTGTTAAATAAGCGAAGTGAGTTGATCCTCAAGGAAAACAAATAAGATAAATATCGATATGTAAAATTTAAACTCAACATTTCCAGTTGAAGTAGATTTAAAGTGAACTACATTATTTAGTCTCCAAAAGACTTATCATTTCACACTGCTTTTGACTAGATACAATCTACTGTACGCTTTGAACTGATTTGCTACACAGTTTTCGACCACTGAAGCAAGTAACATTGTTCAAAGTAACTTTAACGCATGAACAATGAAAATTGCCTAGGTTCAGGCAGATCAGAATTCTGCTGTCTAGTTTTGGTAGTAAAATAACACGTCAGATGAAATATCAAATTGTCTATTGAAATCTAACATGGTAACTATATTTTTTTAGGCAACAAACTATACTATCCAACGGTTTAAAGTATATTATACCGGCAACATTTACTCTGTAATGATGTTTGAGCTACCACATAGCTTTGATTTATGTTAACTGAATTAATTACATCGATGATTCTCGAAAATTATGCAACCAATTTAAACGTCAAAGATTATGTTGGGAAAGGCTGAGAGATCAAACTATACTATTCAGTTGTAGATATTAAAAATTTCTGACGTTGGCAAACTTAGACGCTATTATCTTATATAACAGTACTTATTTGATAGTATGTTTTACAATTGTTAATTGTGCACATATAATTAGACTCAGTTGATACCGAAAAAAACCCATTACAAGACAAATTGTTAATTGTCAGTTTCGTTTTAAAGAATTCTTTAATGGGCCACTCAAAATGAGCACATACTTGGACATACATGGCCATTTGTTAATATCTCGAGCTTATATTTAATGTTATAATTTTACCGAGAAATCACTACCTAATGTTAACAAGTGAATGATTTTCTGTTATCTTTATGCTTTTGTATTCTCGATATGCACTTGTAGGTGCCATAAATGTATCACAGCTCCCACAAATATCGAATGAGATTTGTGTGGTGCATATGTATTTGGTGCCTCTTTGTACCAATATCTATGTGTTAAAATAAATAAATGTTTTATGTGTTCAATCCAATCCTGTTATTTTTATATTCATACATAATCATCTGTAAAGTAGGGAAATCGAGCGAAATCTATAATCCGTGGCGTAGAGCTCGTTAATTATTACATATCTTTTTCTAAACTTATAGTCTAGTATTGCAATATGATCATGAAAACTCGAACGAATGAAATAGATTTAATAAATCAAATAAGTATCCTGAGTTGTTCAAATTGCTTGAAACATTTCAATGAATCTAGATAAATTAAGAAACTTGAACAATGAAATTAAAACTGGCGGCGGGACTATATTATATGAACAAGCCTATCAGGTGTAAGATAACAGGTCTCGGATTTGGGTGCGAAATCTACTCACCCATTCGGAAAAAAGAGTTTTAGCATTATAGCTGATGTCAGTTCGTGACGAAAACCTTAAATATAATTCCTAACCTTAATCATAAATCAGCCAAACACCAGTCTTTTGACATTTGCTGAAGCCGTTGCTATCAGGCGTCAATAGCCTGATTTATGTGTTCAAAAGTTGATGGTTGCTAATCTCTCATTGTCTTGGTGGCAAATATTCCTTTGTTGCATCTTAAACTCTTTTAAAACTCTTCCTTGCATTCATTACATTATTTGGTTTTCTATTTCAACTAACTTCCAGATTAATCTTATTAACGTAGCTTTACTCGTTTTATTCCCATCAGCGTTTACTCATTGTGTAATCGCTTGTTTCTGGCCTTTTGAACTGCTGTCACAATCAATATTGTAGAAGTTTCTTTTACATAAGGTATATATTTCTGATATTCAGTCTATTAAATTTATTCACACACTTCCTACACTATAACTGATGTATCTTCAAAATAACTTCCAAACAAAATCTCTCACGTAAGTAATTTAAGCCCATTTTGTAATTATGACTTTCAAATATCACAGGCTGTAAGCAGCTGATGAGAACCAACGAAATAAAATGAATTTGTGTTATTCGGCTACAATCTTTGTTCATACTCATTTCAAAATAAGAAAGGGAACTATGTGTATAAAAATACTCTTAAATGTTGGCAACTCTCGTTTAAAGTTGTCTGAACTTTCTTATTTTACTGAGTATTACTTAGGTATGTCATGAACAGCTTGAATTTTTAACCAGAAAAGCTTGCTCAAATGTGTATGTACTGTGTTCAAAGAGAACTATTGTTTGTTGTGAGCTGAATTAAAATCCTAGCTGTATGTTTTTGTGACCATTAAGTTTGAAGCCCGATGATTGTTTTCTATTATTTTCCGTAACTATTAGGCAACTGACTTGATCGACCATAAAACAAGAGTAACCAGTGAGTCAGATTACTTAATTATCTGCTTTAGTATTAGTCTGGTTTTCGCTTTATCCTTCAAGAGTTCCAACCTAGTTTCACGAAATTACAACAATGACTACTTTACAGGCGAAAATTTGGGTGAAAGGAAACATTTATCACGGGTTAATAATTTATTCTTATAAACTGGGACAATTGAACATTCAAATTAAAAATTTGTATCGACGCAGTTCCTTATTTCTAGGCAGGAGCCAACGATAAATATGAACAGATAGTTTCTGACTATCATTGTTGTTGCATTTTGTTTAGCACTGATCAGTATTGAGAAACTACTCGAAATTTTTGAGGTTTAAAGCAAATAAATTCCAGAGCATATAATCTGAAGAGGAATTTAATTATGAGGTAAATTGTGATTAAATCAGCCTCCCTATCATACTACAGGGAATAACCTTCGAAAACAAGCCAGGTATTGTCGATTGAAAAAATATTGAGAACCAAAATGGTGACCACATCTAGTGTTTAATTGCTCGCGTTAAATTATTAACCTATACCACTCATTATCGGATTTTGACCTGAATAAGTATTTGGAGAAATTACCAACGAAGTATCTAGGAGACCCTCACTACATTGAGGTTGTAATATTGTAGACGATTCAACCATCAAGTGTGTCGGAATGACTAAATATGAACATATTAGCCACAAACTAGAGAGTTCAGTATAGAAATGCACTTATTAGCGTACCTACACAGACTGGATACTTGAATATAAAATTTTTAATGAAAGCATGACATCATGAGATCTTAGTTTCTGTAAGGAAGTAGTTTAAGGTTAGCGTTAATGAAACTAGACAGAAGCAGACGGTCACACGTCGTAAAAGTCTCTGTTAGCTTTAGATTAGTATGATGACTAACTATATGATAACGTTGGGTGAATAGTGACATGATTATCTATACAACATTTCGAAGTTTCAAATGGTTTACTGAATATGTAAATATATAGAAATGCCTACGGATAAAAACGTCCATAAATACCTTCCTAAATTTCGCATTCGTATTCTGGCTTCCGTTGGAATTTCCTCTTCCTCACTCTGTAGACGAGTATACTTTGAGATCTAAGACATAACTCACTTCCTCATCTGAGTTGAAGACTTCACGGACCTTGCTGTCTACCTTTTTAGGGATTTCAGGTGTAAAATCCTTTAGAGGTAATCTACACGACATTATTAACAATATCCAACCTGTGTGGGTACATTTAATTTGATAGGACTTATAATCGCAGGACGTCGAGAACCCTCACTTGATTTTTCAATTACTTTAACTGGGACCTGATCACTAACAGATTCATCAGGCTTTCTTTTCAGGGTTTTAGGTCCTATTAAAAATCATGCACAAAAGATGCTGCATTTACCCGAACTCATACGAACAAATATATATGAAGTAGCGTACTAACTTAAAATTGAGGGTTGTTATCATGTCCAATACCTTTGCGACAAGCTTGCAGAGTTAGCAAAACATATATAAGCAAAAAATATTGTTTTATATTATATCCTCATCACAATTTGCTCTAGTATACAGTAATATTTATATTCATATATAAATATGCATAATTCGCCATACAATAATA